AAAAAAAAAAAAAAACAAAAAAAAAAAACCACCGATTAAAAGATAAAACCATACAAAAAACGAAAAATTGAAGCCAACATTGCATAAAACAAAAACATGAATTAATAATATATTTCAAATAACAAATGAGCTTTAAGTTTTCATTCAAGTTGGGTTCAATTAACAAACAAATGATTTTCATTCGAAACAAACAAATGATTTTCATTCAAACTTCAATGAGCTTGATCGAGCTTTTCTTCGCGAGCGATTTGCTTATAGCTCTATACCATCCCTCCATGCAACGAAAGTCGCTAGGCTTCCGCTGCAGCGAGGACAAAGCATACTAAGGGCGTAAGATTACTTATTCACCGACAACGCACGCAAGCTCGATCTGGCGATCGAGAACCTAGAGAAGTTCATAAAGAATAAGGAACCCGAAACTCGTACCTGCGGGCCAGGACATGTAGTCGTGATCCAAAACTTGTGGGTGAATACTAAATCCTCAAGAAAATTTGCTCGATATTAATTGAAACACGTAGAGACCACGATGTGTTGGCGTCTTTGATGAGCTTCAAGAGATTGCCATGTCCACCAGAGTTGTAATTAAAACTTGAAGTAAATGGAGAGTTTAAGTCAACTCACTGAAGTAAGTTTACAAAAATTTTAATTTTAGTGATTAAAAAGCTAGTTTTTAACAATTCTTTTCCACAAACTACCATCCCGTGCCCGGTGGAAAGCCGGAAACTCAGGCTTATCGGCCTAGGGGATCCACTCACCAAGGCGTGGGACTAATCCTCCAGGAGGTGCAGAGTGCCCAATCCCTACACCCCATGATAGTTGGGTTCGATCCCACAACCTATGGCATCAATAGCAAATTAGCCTCCACCATCAACCATAGGACTACATGCCCCAGGGATAGTTTTAAACACTAATTTATTGCAATTAATGTTGTATATGAAAGTTCATATTGTATAAGAATGTTTGGGGAACAAGTATGCAACTTAAAACAAGCTTCTCATTTGATAAGGATCTATCAAATAAACTCGGTCTGGATAAATGGTTCTCTTTAGATCTCTGAATCTCACTTGATTTCCTCGCCTAAAGACCTAAAACAAAGAACGAAGCGAGCGGTAAGCTTCCCTGACCCGTCCAGCGCCCTCACCTGATCCGGAGCCAGAGTGAGAGCTACCTTGTAAGAACCAAAGAAGGGGTACCTCTCGCTTCCAATTCGATTTGATCCCCGATGCCATCAACCGGCAGTGAGAAGTTGAGTAGGCTAGCCAATGTTCCAGGGGCCATTTTAATAGCAGCATTCAAAATGCCTATCCGAACTCAATTTACACCTAAAATGAGCATATCGGAACCCTTACCCTCACCTCGATAAACCACGTATCTCACTCGAGTAAGAGGATTACCGATATAGCTCCTTCGACGATCAAGTCACCCCTTCGTGTAAAATAGGATAAAGTGTATATTAATGCGTAATCGTGACAATGGCAACCATACATTTTTTTTATGTATAGTGTTCACCTTATTCTCCAAGACTCCTATCGTTCTAAGGGAACTAGTTATTATGATATTCTTCGGAGATCTCTTACGTTATCCACAATTATGAATCCTCATAATTACGTCCTTATCATGCATCTTCTAATATGTTCTCATAGCTCCACACTTTCTGCTATCAAGCCCACATTATCTACCCCAGTCGCTTGAAACCAGGTCGCTCATATTAGTCCTAACTCTTAACTGACCTACGGTCGACCTAGGCTTACAGACCCAACCTAGATTAGGGGGGCTTCGGTCTATTACTGAGGTGTAATAGTGTCAGTCCAACATTGAGCTATTTATGCCATATCAACAACTCTCGCCCCCTCCCCTTTGGCCATACAAGGTTCAACACGTGTGGCCAAAAGTAAATAAAACAGTTTGACAACAATTATTGCTTGTGCAAAAAAAAAAGCCCTTAGGAAACTGTACCCGTCACACAAAAGGTGCAATTGGGTACCTCTCTCAAGAATATAAAAAATGTGAGATCCATCTTGAAATGTAAAAAATGATAAGGATGCATCCAACAACTCATGATCATCCGCCTTTTGACCTTCATCTTCCATTCTATAAGACCCCCATTTATCAATCATTTTCGATTTTTCCACTCTTGACGACTTGCACAACCTTCTTCAAGAAATTCCAGCAAATCCCTCACCCTATCACTCCTCCAAATTCTTCTCTTTCTATCATTGACTAAGAACATGGGTATGTTGATTTTGTCTTAACATTTTCATTTACGAGTCGATTGCGTGATATCGCAAATTTTCTACAGGCATCCTACCTTGAACCTCTATCTTCTTGATCTTATCAATTTTTCATTCTACATCGTATTTTCAAAGATCATGTCTCAAGGGTTCCCTTTCGAATGTAGAATAAACTAAAATGCATTAACTTCTGATACTTTGTCATCGTCTCTAGCCATTATCCCTTCTTCTCCGCAAACTCCAGCCTATGCTATTTTTCTTCATGATGTGCCCCTAGGATCCCCATTACATCTAAGTTCTAACCATCGCCAGACAACCCACTCTAAATGAGTGTCCGCGATGCAAGACTTGGGAAGCTCAATCATTTCACCTTGAAACATTCGGTGATATCAATATCTTTAAAACCTTTTATGAGCTCGCCCGCTTATGAAATCTCATCCTTATTAATATCACGAACCTTTATGATCGGCCTCCTAATAATTGTTACACCTTTTTTAGGGATAAGATCCATAGTGGTTTGCACTTCCCTATCCAAGTGACCTAAGTCGTTTTACCGACTTGTATCGCCTACTAGTAAACTACTTATCCCCAAACACCATCCACTTGATGGTGACTTTCATCATACTCGATTGTCATCTTACTAGAGACAATATTTTTTTTTTATTTTTTTATGGCATGAAAATGTCGAAGGGTCACGCTATCTCATAGCTCTTAATCGAGATGCCTTTTTAAAAGGACCTTCCCTCTAACATATCTTCCTGGAAAACTCAATTTTTCTACATTCAACTTTCTTCCAAAGAGTTAGTTGTTTTCCCCAAATGTCTCCACGAGCTTCCTAGCTAGGCGAGAAAAAATCGCCCCACCAAATATTGTGACAAACATGTTGCTGAATGGAACAAAATTCCTCTCAATTCCTCGAAGCTCGTTCCATATGCAATCCTTCGTTCTCATGTGGGTCTCACGATAGTGACTAGAACTCGGACCGATGACCTAGGTACTAAATTTACTATATGGCCCAAAAGACTTAACACATTTTGTAGACAAGATAATCAGTCGAGCTGTCGCTGGATCTAGATCCCAGAGAAAAGAGCATACTAGGTCTAGTCACGATGAGAATAAGCATGCTCAAGAGCATGAGAATAAGCATGCTCAAGAGCATTGCCGACCCATAACCTACGACTGATGTCCCGTCACGATGCGGACCCACCACCTTCTCGTACACGTGAGAATAAGCATGCCGTTGTAAATATTTTTTGGGAGTAGATAGGAAAGATTCGAACACCGAGTTGTGTCTTACGAGGAAGGTTAGTCGGAATATAATGCGCGTTTATTCAATCTCACGAAAAGAAGAAATAAAATTCCTAAACATATTAATTCAAAGATTGGTTTGGTTTTAAATTATCGACTACTAGAATTTGAACAACGCAAATTAAAATAGCAAGCTAACACGTAGAACAAGAAAGATTTAAGAAGTTAGGGAGTCAGAGATTCCGTTTTAGTTCGAAAATGCAATTATCAAACAAGAGATTGTTCGGTTAAGAGATTTGAATAATCGGTTCGTTCAAGTACTCATACTCAATAATTCTTCGTAACAAGAGAACAAACTTAAATGACAAGTTAACAAGTCATTTAACACCTAGGCCTACAGTTACGAACAAGTCTAGTTTATACGAGCCTAATTCGACCGACTCCTCCTCTTTTGGTTCTAAGAGTCGATTAAATTAGACTAGAAGTTGGTTAATCCACTAGCCATTTAGACTTTCCAAAATCATGCACGAATTAAACGAATTCAATTAAAATAATTGGACGTTGAAGTGTCACCCTTCAACAATTCTCAAAACTCGAGCCTGACAATTGAAAAATTCTAGAAAAAGAGCAACTCGTACAAATTGAACAATCACGAACATGATAATCGCAAACGAATTCAAAACATCAATCCCCTATCTCTAGCATACGGATTTAGCTACTCATATTCGAATTATCAACACAAACATCCATAATTAAAGCAAACATACTCATAGGTTAAATGTATAGAAAACTTACGATTAATGA